GACGGGGGCGGGCCGCGAGCTCCCCTCGCCCACAGCCTCGGGGTCGGCACGGGCGGGCGCCAAGGGGCCGGGGGACCCCGGCCGGGGACAGAGGGCGGGGCCGGGGGCGGGGCCGGGGCGGGGCCGGGAGGAAGGGGGAGGAGGGACGGGAAGGCGGCGGGGGCAACCCGAGCAGAGAGACACCCCAGGACCAGAGCGGAGTGGGGTGCGGGGGAGGCAAGGGCAGAGGGTCCAATTCCCCTGGCGGAGAAAAAGACGCGGCCAGAAAATCAGGGGACCTTGGGGCGAGGGCGGGACGCTCAGAGGCAGCGGGAGGCCAGGCCAGGGGGTTCCCGAGAGCCTGCCTCCGAGTGGGGCCCGGCTGAGGCGAGAGGGGTGCGGGAGGCGCCTCGCCCGGGGCGCTCGGTCCCGGGACCTGCCTTGGGCAGGGGCCGGCTGGCAGGTGGGGACCGAGGGGCATTGTTCGGCAGTGGCAGAGCCGTGGGGAGGTCCCAGCCCGAGCGCCAGAGACGTGGATCCCTGGCTTGAGGACTGGGGAGGAGGCTTTGAATGAGTTTCAGGGTTAATCACGAAGCCCTGAGAGTGGCTCCTGAGTCACACGCCCCTCTTCCCCCAGTGCCAACGATGTACTAAGTGCTCTCTGAGTCACTGCTCCAGTCCCCGAAGGCTCACAAACCAGGAGAGTCCACATCCAGTTGGCTAGCGAGTGAGTGGCAGAAGGAGTTTCTCCATGTCTGCAGGCTGCAGCCCCCAGGGTCTGGCCCGGAAACCGCTGGGCCCAGGGGTGGCTACAGAGGGCTCCAGTCTGGGAACCGTCTGGATGTGTGAAGGAGTTCTCCCCGACCCTGGGCTGGCATGTGGGGTGACCTTGAGATGCCAAGGCCTCCCTGGCCCTGAGCTTCCTCCTCCCAGCCTGAGAGTTTGGACAGAAAGATCCCCACAACTCAAGTTTCCTCCTGGCCCTCTCTGACTCAGCCTTTCTGGTCTCTTCCTCCCTCTCTCCTGGCCCAGCAGTTTCCAAGCAGCAGCCCTGAGTGGCGAGCAGATGCGTTGGGGCTGGTGTCCCATCCGGGCTCAGCCCATGCGACTAGGACAGCAGATCGGGTCCTGTTTGTCACTTGGGGCCAGTGTCCTGCATCCTGTCCACTGTGCTTTACTTCATCCTGCTTTCTAGAGGGCAGAAAGTGGGTATATAGGGGCTGTAGCAGAGGATAGGGTAGGCAGTGGCAAAAGAAGCTCCTTCCACCCACTCCACAGGTGTCCCTGAGCGTGTGTCAGACAGAGGATTCAGGTCGTTAGAATGTAGTGGGGTCTGCGTCCCTACGGAGATGTACAGAAAGTGCTACGGCTCACAGGAGTGGGGGCCCAGGGCCTTTGCCTTGAGTTACAGCCTTTGTATAATTTAGTTTGAGACAGGGACTTGTTAAGACACTAAGTTACCTAAGTTGTACCAATAAAATAAAATTTTTTTTAAAAGAACCAAAATGGATTATATAAAGGTGCAAATTTCCAATGATGAATGTCATTATATTTTATACCTTTAATGTACCCATAAAATTAATTTTTAAAAAAAGACACGAAGTTGCCCAGGTAGGCGCCAACTGGTGATCGTTCTTCTTCAGCCTCCCACAGTGCTGGCACTGCAAGCATGTGTCACCATGCCCAGCTGAAAATGCTTTCTGGACCCAAGGAACTAGCCAGCCTGTTTCCATGAACTAAGGGTGAAAAATGCCAGCTAGTGGAGATTCTAAACCCCAGAGCACAGTGGGCCTTAGGAGCATCTACCGCCTACCCAGGCACATAACTGGACATAGAAGCCTTCCCTTTGGGCCCAGCATGCCTAACCAGCAGTGAGGGTGAAGAACAGAGGCAAACTTCTAGGGCCCCTACTCTCCTGGTGCCTGTTTAGTGGGTCATGTAACTGAACATTTCAGTATAAAGGCTTCAGGTGAGGCTTGATCCAGCAACTCAGAACGATCAGCTAGGAGTCCTTCTCCTTCCATCTCTCCTGTTTGCTAGCCACAGGGCCTTCTTCATTTCAGGCATCACAAGATGCCTGTCCTCAGTTGCTGAGATAGCTGGTATTTTTTTCCATTTGTAGCCCAGGGGAACAAGTATCAATATTTCCCAGGATCCTCCTTAACAGGTTTAGAGATTCTCTGTAATTGAAACATCTTTAGGTCCTAGGCTACTCCTAAACAAGTCACTTTGGCCCAGAAGATAGAATGTGCTGCTGAGCTTGGCCAGGCTCACATTGAAGGAAAGCCAGAGTCTACGAAACCCGCTGAGTGCTCCACAGGGACCAAGTCCCGATGGGAGGAAGAAGTGGCTGCCGGGAGACAGATTCCCCCAGCTGTTCCGTGAGCTGCACACCCTTGGGCGTGTCAGCTCCCCTCCTGGGACCTCAATACCTTTAGTGCTACACGAGTGGTTGGACGAGGTGGCCCCCTAGAGGCACCATGTGACTTCTCCCTCCAGGTCTAACCAGAGCTGCCCGGGGCCCACCTTTGCTTTGAATCTCTGCTCTTTTCTCTTAAGCAGGAAGACTTAACCTCCACATGACTCCTCTAACCACCGTCCTCCAGGGCTGGGCTCTGACTCCACTCCCTCGGGGGCCCTGGGCTTCAGAAGTGAGGTTAAGGATCCAGAGCCTCAAGTCCCTGGAGAAAGAGCGGTTGTTTATCTTGATTCATAAAAAGCCACGAAAGAAAGAGGTTTAAAAGCTCCAAGCAGGTTATGGATGCTGTAAACAGCTGATGTGATGGTTTTCAGATGAAAAATCACCCAAGATAGAAGATCGGGAAAGCAAGATCTGGAGGTCAACTGGGCTCATCTTCCTGTCCCTAGATGAACGGTACTTCAAACATCTCCGAGTGGGGAGCAGGATGATGATGGGGCCGAACAGCACACGGCTTGGGGTTAGGGAAGGGTGCGTTGCGGTGGGTCCAGAGTGTCTGTCTCTGGAAGGGGCTGCATTTGGTGTGGGGAGAGTTGGAATCCCTGGGAGCAGCCGGCGGAGGCCAAAGTGAAGCCCAGGGGCTTGTTGTGTAGACAGAGCAGAAACTGGGCCTGAGGCTCAGGCAGCTGCCCTGGCCACAGCAGCAAGATTCCTTAGCATTTTTAAAGCTCACAGTCATTCAGCAGAGATGTATGGCACCCTATTATGTGCCAGGCACCATGCTGGGCAAGCAGAATACAGGGATGAAAAAGATTCCCTGAGGAACTTTTCTTTGTAGATGGATTCCTGTGCTCCCTTGGTGGAGAGCCAGAGCTGTAAAGAAGTTCCAGCTGATTTGTGGAATTTCTTCCCTATCCAAACCCCAAATCTTGTCTGGTGAGAACAGAATGAATCAGTGCACGAGTGATTTCAACCTGATGGGTGTGTGCAGCTCTGAGCCCAGAGAGAAGAGGGTACTCACCTTTGAGCAGCTGTCCAGTGGGTCCGAGGACAAGAAAGGGACATGGACAGCCACGGCAGGGCCAGTATGCCAGGGATTAGAGCTACATCGCCAGTCTTTATTCCAGCTCTGTGACTTTTCCACGGAGACTTTTAGCATCACTTGCTAACTTTCTCTGTGTGTCTCTGTTTCTTCATCTATACAAGTTTCTTCGTCTATGCATCTACATATAATATGTACTGTTATAAAATAATAAGAGTTGTCCTCCTGTCTCTTGGAAGGATTCAGTGAGATAGCCCATGTAAATATTTTTTCCATGGAGACTAGCACATAGTAAGTGCTCAGTAAATGTCAGCTGTCATTCATTGGGGCATTTATCAGTGATGGGGTCCAGAAGTCTCAGGGAGAGCCAGGAAGGGTGCCTGGAGTGGGGGCACTGACTGGAGACCTTGGCCTTGATGGGAGGCGGCAGGGCTCCCCCGGCCAGGGCCCTGCCAGTCCATGGCACTCTTCGGGTCACTGCGGTGCTGGCTGCGAATGCTGATTTCCGAGTGAGGAGCAGGGGGCTCCCTGGCAGTGAGGAAGCTGGCAGATTGGAGCCCAGCTCACGCAGGTGCTCCGAAGCCAGACGGACACCGCAGCTCCTTCTAAGTGGGCATTGGCCAGGAAGTAACACTACAGAAGGAGCCGCCTGGTATCAGGCTGCTCCCTAAAGAAAGGGCGCTCTCAGCCTGGCCGGGGACACACGTCTGTGACGCCAGCACAGTGGGAGGCTGAGGCAGGAGGGTCACAAGTGTGAGCCCAGTGGAGCAATATAGCTCCCTACCAAGACACTGGGTTCAATTCCCAGACTGGAAAGAAAGGAAAGAAGGAAGGAAGAGGGGACCCCCCCCACACACACACACTCTGTGGCCCAGCAGTGGGGTACCAGGGAACTAGGGCTTGACGTGCATCTGTGTGAATTTAAATAAACTTCAGACTAAGAGTAAATTTAGTGAGATGCATTCTTCCTTTTTCCATCTCAATCATCTATCTGTTTCTGGTTGGTTTATTAGAGTCTGTTTTTACCCAAACTTGACCTATTGCCCTGACTTTATACTTCAAAGAACTTTATGAAACTCCCCTTCAGTTTCACTTCTGCGTGAAGACAGGAATCTCAAGCAGGTGGCTCACCTGTTTCTGAGCTTCTGCCTGAGCCTCCTGCGCGGAACCCCCACCCTAGGAATCCCTGGCTGCCACAAGGGCCTTCAAGCTGCAGGACTCCGGGGCACGCCGAGGTC